TTTCCGTGGGAGCCGGGTGCCACCTGGTGGCCACGGCCCGGGGTGTGCGGGGCCCACGGGAGCAGGGGGTGCCCAGGAAGCCGGGGGTGCTCGGGGACCAGGGGGTAATCGGGGAACTGGGGGTGCTCAGGGAGCCGGGGATGCTCGGGCAAACAGGGGGTGCTCGGGGAACCAGGGGTGTTCGGGCAAATAGGGGGGGCTTGGGAAGCCAGGGATGCTCGGGAAGCTGGGGATGCTCAGGCAAACAGGAGGTGCTCAAGGAAGCCAGGGGTGCCCGGGGAGCTGGGGTGTTCGGGCAAATGGGGTGCTCAGGAAGCCAGGGATGCTCGGGCAAACAGGGGGTGCTCAGGAATCCGGGGGTGCTTGGGGTGCTGGGGGTGCTCAGGGAGCTGGGGTGTTCGGCCAAACAGGGTGCTCAGGAAGCCAGGGATGCTCGGGCAAACAGGGGGTGCTCGGGTAAACAGGGGCTGCTTGGGAAGCCAGGGATGCTCGGGGAGACGGGGGGTGCTCGGGGAACCAGGGATGCTTGGGGAGCTGGGGGTCCTCATGCAAACAGGGGGTGCTTGGGAAGCTGGGGTTGCTCGGGAAGCCAGAGACGCTCAGGCAAACAGGGTGCTCAGGAAGCCAGGGGTGCTCGGACAAACAGGGGATGCTCAGGGAACCAGGGATGCTCGGGGAGCCAGGGGTCCTCAGGCAAACGGGGTGCTCAGGAAGCCAGGGATGCTGGGCAAGCAGGGGATGCTCGGGGAGCCGAGGGTGCTCGGGCAAACAGGGGTGTTCGGGCAAACAGGGGGTGCTCGGGAAGCTGGGGGTGCTCAGGCAAACAGGGGGTGCTCAGGAAGCCGGGGGTGCTCAGGGAACTGGGGTGTTCAGCCAAACGGGGTGCTCAGGAAGCCAGGGATGCTCGGGCAAACAGGGGGTGCTCGGGTAAACAGGGATGCTCAGGGAGCCAGGGATGCTCGGGGAGACGGGGGTCCTCATGCAAACAGGGGGTGCTCAGGAAGCCGGGGGTGCTCGGGCAAACAGGGGGTGCTCAGGGAACCAGGGATGCTTGGGGAGCCAGGGGTCCTCATGCAAACAGGGGGTGCTTGGGAAGCCGGGGGTGCTAGGGGAGCCAGGGGTGCTCAGGGAGCTGGGGTGCTCAGCCAAACAGGGTGCTCAGGAAGCCAGGGGTGCTCAGGCAAACAGGGGGAGCTCAGGGAACCAGGGATGCTCAGGGAGCCGGGGGTCCTCAGGCAAACAGGGGGTGCTTGGGAAGCCGGGGGTGCTCGGGGAGCTGGGGGTGCTCAGGGAGCTGGGGTGTTCGTGCAAACAGGGTGCTTGGGAAGCCGGGGATGCTCGGCAAGCAGACAATGAGCAGAACCCCCGCGCCGATGGCCTGCCCAGGACTAGCGCAGAAGGTTTTTAGTAGCCCCCCGGGGCCAGGGAAAGGGTGGGGAGACACCCGAGCAGAGCCTGGTGGGGTTTTTGCTCCAGGGTGTTTCCTGAGCCCCAGCAGGGCTGGGCAATGGGGGCTTCCTCTGGTGGTGATCGGCCCCAGGAGCCCTGTGCCCACCAACCCTGGGCACGGCCCCGTGATGAACTGGGTCACGGCAACACCTGGGCAAAGTTTTGATGAAAAAAACCCCAAAACCCACCAAAACTCAAGACTCGGAGAAGAGTGACAGAAAGAGTTTGCAGACGGGAGGCTCTTCCAGCTGGAGACCCCCGATCATCCCATCCTTCCTCTGTTTGGGATCAGCGGGGCCTGGGGGGGGGGGGGGGGGGGTGCTGGGAGACCATCGGGATGCTCAGCATCAGGCCCCACATTCTCCCTCAGCTCCTTTCCCACCTCTGATGGGGGACAAACCCCACCTGGAGGGAGACTGAGACATAATCAGGATGCTCAGCATCAGGCGCCCCTCATCCTCTCCCAGTTCCTTTCTCATCTCTACTGGGGGCAAAGCCCACCAAGGGGGAGGCTGGGGGAGCATCGGGATGCTCGGAACGGGAAGGGGCTTTATCCTTGACCAGGATCCGGGCCCTCCCCCATTCCCTGCATCCCCCAGGGCCAGGCTGGATGCGACGGGCTCCCAGCCCATTGGGAAGG